GTTGAAATAAACTCCCATGACGCCATGGCCTTAGTTAACTTCTCCTGAACGTGTACATGTTTTACCAATGCAAAGTTAGCGTAATGTAAACGACGTCCCTACTTAAATAAGCCAGTAGTACTACTTGGTGGATAGCAGTAGTAAGATGATGAAATGGCCGGGCTACATACTTCACATGCACCAGCCCAGTTATGTAGAAAGACTGTGCCTTTTATTGCTGGTTAGTCAAAATTGGCCAATTTACAATTTGCCCAACCTCCAGTGGTGTCCACTGTTAAGAAGCTGCCTCGAAATAAATCAATTTAAGTATATAAGTAGTAATTAAGTAGAACACTGGGAAAAATAAAAGGAATATAAATAGAAAATAAAATTGCAATAAATAATAACAGTAAAAGCAGCTGAATATAGATAAATCAGACAGACGAAAGCCTAACACACTTCTTCATACCGCTGCAATCTTCCTTCGGTTTCCGGTGAGACCAACTGAGCAATATTTTGCATATCTTTAGGTGTCAACTCGACCAAATTCCGAAAAGACCGGCCTACGATTCTGGAGTAAAGTGCAAAGGTCGAGTCACTCCTGTCGGCTGAAGGCTAATTAGGCAGCTGTACCAGTTGATTCCCAAATGGGCCCCGAACTGGAGCCTTCAATCGGACTAAGCCGTGTCCACACGAAATACTCACAAGACGCCTTAGTCCTACTCGTCATTATGAGAATATATTATTATGCCCGGTCTTCAATAGCCTCGTGCCAACTGTATATACTTTTGTGTGTTGGCAGTCTCTGTTTTGCCGTCGAAGTGTGTAGACACAAATGCGTTCAGGTGAAGAGTCGCAAAGCTGCAACTGTCTCGACAAGTTTGTCAGAATGTGTGCGGTTTGAAGAGGTTCACTTGAGAGGTTTATTTTCCAGTCGACGGGATTCTGAGGCCGCTGAACCGGCCTTTGATGCCCGCCTCGACTGGACAAACGTCTTTGGACACGGATTGACACTTTCAGTTGGGCGGTCAAAGGCAGGCTTCGCTTTTGACCGCATTTGTGTTATCTGCTTTTAAGGCTGAATTGGCGAAGTAAAATTCGGTAAAATGACGGTCAATTCACTTTCACACTCAACCGGAGGACACTCATTACTCGGGCGGAATACATACTGGACTTCTGGACTACTCGGAGAAAATCACTTTGAGAATATGCACTACTTAAATGTTATCAATCGCATACTACTTATAGACTAGCTGGGCGAATGAATGCACAACAATTCTTCAAACATTTGCTATAGATTCGACAAGGTCTACAGGGTTTTGGCTGTTCGGCTGCCAAAGGGTTATGATGTACCATGCAAAACGTCATCGCAAATTGCAGAAGCGCGCCAGAAGCAGCAGCGGCAGCATCAGACATAATAATGATTATTATTATTATTTTGGCAACTTTCACTAATGTTATGCTGACATTAGTGGTGGCGGAACTGGTGATAGTAATAGCATTTGCGATAATAAAAATATCCGTAGTAGTAGCATTAGTTGTTTTTATTACTGTTATAGCAATAACAGCAAAAGCAGGATCAGCATCAATAATGATAATAATAATAATAGCTTTATTGATGAGTAGTAACAGTAGTGATGGTATTATTACTAACAGCCATTGTAGCAGCAACAGCAGTACAGTACAGCAGCCCCAGTATTACTGGTGATACGGATACTTCAATAAGTTTTTGTCAATACTATAAAAACGGCAGTAGTAACAGCAGTAGTATTGCTAGTTGTAACACTAGTAGTGCTGCTATCGTTAGTAGTATTGATATTTGTAGTAGTTTTAATACCTTTTTATTGTTGTTGCAATGACGGTGGTATCAGTGTCTTGTGTACCAACCCACACATGTTGTGGTTCTACTTGTTTTGATCAGGCTCACTAAAGATGTCTCATCTTTGCTTTCTCATCTCCCTGCGATCTCTTTTGCTAAAATTAAGAATATTTCCTTGATCTAGTATTTCGATGACCTCTCGGATCTTGCGTTTTCTTGTATCTTAACCACATGCAGCCAACCTTTCTGCCGATTTCCAGTTGATTTCGTGCCCCGATCGTGCAATTTGTTCCGCTATTGTGGATCTTTTTGTATCATTGTTCCTGCAGAGTCTTTGATGTTCCTTGATTCGTAGACCGATTTTTCTTCCTGTTTCAACAATATACTTCTGCCCACAGTTGCCGCATTTGATGCGATAAACTACCGAGCATTCAAGTTTGTCAGTCTTCTCATGTTGCGTCGGCAGACTGGTGATGCTCAATTGATGCTCAATTTCCCTAGCAACGGTCGCAATTGTTGGCTCAGTTGTGATGAGGGCAGGCAAATCCACTTTTGGTTGTCATCCTCATTCATGATCTGATTTTCTTAACATTCAAGTTGAAATCGGCCCTTTACAATCACCACATTTTTTTCTATAAATGCTCTGGGATATCCGTTACTAAGGCAAATCCGTGTCAGTTTGTCCAACTCCTTAACTGTAGTTATGATGGGACTGGAAAGTAAAGATAATTCCCGCATATGAAATTCTTTCTGTATAGTCTCCTCATGAGTGTCCTCTTGGAGCGTATGACTTCAATATCCAAAAAGGGTAGCCGTTTATCCTCCTCCACCTTCATTGTGAAGTTAATTATTTCGTCAAGTTGGTTAATAAAAATGAGGAATTTCTTTAGAATCTCCTCACCATGCGACCAAAGTGCAAAGTAGTCATCCAAATATCGCAAAGCACTCTTGTTTGCAGTGGTGACTTCATGACACTATGACAGACTCTGGTCAACATTCCCACCACAAGTTTGAAGGCGGTGATAACGACAGTGTGGAGTGTGAAGTGTTTTCATGAATGCCGCTCGAAGGAGCACACCACACCACATCAAAATAAGCACGGCATAAATTGTGACAGGGAGGATATAGGAATATGTGAATAGCCCAGGCCAGAAGGGGAGATACCGTTTGGTCAAAGGATCAGCTTCATTTGTCTCTTTGACGATTGTTGAATGGTGCTACGAATGGCGTAACTGACTGATGATGCCGGCGAAACGTCTGGGAATGTACCACATCCACGGTCCTACTCTGGAAATGATGGTGCATATAATAAATTCATCTAAGTCTTCCTACCAATATGACCAAGTTGTGAAAACAAAGTCAAACAACTGCTATACAGTGATAATTAATGTTGCTATAACGTTAACATCGTCAACAGTACAACTACGACTAATTATTATTATTTCTTTGTAGCAACCCTATTGCCTGTATTATTAAAATAAGTAGTAATAACAATATATATAATGTTATTACTATTTTTTTCGCTGTTTTTGTGACCCTGACAGTAGGGCAAGTATTACAAATGGCAGCAATAATTGTTGCTGTAACAGTAATACTACTACTACTACT